CTACTGGAAAAGTTGAATTTTCTTCGGTCAGGTTGTTACAGTACATGACTCAGAACAACTGCGCAAAAGGCACCCGAGGTCGTCGCATATCATTTTCTGGTATCTTGCCTCCCCGGCATTATACCATCATATACGTCTGGCTTATACTTTTTCTCTCCATCGAATATCACTTCCCCAAGCGCCTAACATATGCGGCTTCCGGCCTACCGTCACCTCTGCTGAATTATTTACTGATTCAAAGAAGCTACCCAAACNCAAACATCCCGGGCTTATGTAACGAGTTTACACTGAACAGTTCTGATTGAAATCACCAACCGAAACTTTGTTTTAACTGCTCTGTCATTGACCGTTATTTTATATTCGCGTCGGTTAAATTGATGCCCTATTCTTCCGGTAAAAACGCTTGGAATTGCGGGTTATTCTACAAACTGGCGGTCATTAATGAACCCTAGATCACCGTTTTCCACGAGATTATGAGCATTGTGCATGGGAATGTGCAATTGTTTGAATGCCAGCACGTACTCTTTCTTCATTCGTGATATATTGTCGTCTAGGGCTCCTGGGAAAAAAGTAGCAAAAAACAACGTGATGACTCTTCTTGTCCAGCGATACCAAATAATAGAGCCTCAGTTATCTGTCAATAGGCGTACAACACGCAGTAGTGGTGGTGGTCATAACGAATCAGTATCTTATTCAGTCAACCCCGTCTATACGAGTGAAGTAATTTCATAACATACTCGTACTATGATGGCCTAAGTTGGGGAAGTTAGGTGTTCTGGAGATACAATGACTATCGCAAGATTATTTGAGCTCTCAAAACAATGATACTGTGCAAAAATCACATTCTGCCGGTAGGGCACTAGCAGATTCAAGGGTGTCTTTGACACATCTACCCCACCTCCAATGAATCACACTGTTATCTAAACAAGAACTAACTTTTAATCTCCTCATCCATTTTGTAACATCAACAGTTTATGGTCTCGTATTTGGGCTACTCATTTAGTCGATCAATGAGCTAGAAATAAATGGAAAAGTTTAAACACAGAAATACTGTGAAAACAACTATACAGAATGGATAAACCTGCACAAGAAGTGATTAAATGCATAGGGATCACTATTTATGATACGGCTATATCACTCATTGTCTCTAAACAACGTTGAGACAGGTCCCGAATTCATCTACTTGTAAGTATAACGAGAACTTTCGTGGCCGAGAAGCCCTATCAGGATTTCCGTATCCTAATGAAAGGTTTTAATCTGGCCGCCTTTAGTCCTTTCCCGACTTCTGTTATCTTCGGCAAAGATCGCATGCCTAGGAAGCTCATCTGACGAGATGTGCAACATAAACAATAGTCAACTTACTCTATGGTGGTTGAACTTCAGTGCCTGATCGCGATTGTCTAAAACGCTCAACCTAACCTCAGCACAGCTTGTCCGCTGGCTCCACCAGACTCATGCAATACGGCTTATATAAGGTTGTTTGGACACCAAAAGTCTGTTTTATATTCTTTTCCCGTAACAGTCCTTTTTCTGCACTATGTTGGAGAATCTACCGGATAGATACAGCTCACACTAGACCCCTCATCGACAACCAAATGTCGCGGCGGCAATGAAGGATTATAGCCGATAGTGTGAGATTTAACATAGTGAAAACAAAAATAAAACGAATATTCACAATCACTTCTATTCTAATAAGGAATAACCATTTAACGTTTTTTTCCTTAGCTAGGAGTTCATTTTTTAATACTGTTGCTTACCATTTAGAATGACATTGCTGGTCTCAAGACACGATATACTTTGAGTAAACATGTCTGAGATTCACACTCATTTATCAAAAACTTCATTTTATCCTCGAAATGGTTGACTGTGACAGCTTTCACGGTTTTAAAATGCTTCACCTATAGTTTAAAGGTTACATCAGGTAGAGGTCTTCATCTTTTTTGTTTTTACTACATTCTACTTTTCAACCGCTTGTTCAACATTGATCTTCTCTGGTGGATAGTTAGTGTTAAATAAAGGCTAGCATATACAATAGATTTGATCAGCCCTGGCAGAAATACTCTAAAAGTAGTTAACCCAAATATCACGATGTTTTCCTGTTCGAAAGGCTCATTACCGCAAATCGTTTTGTTTGATAGCCCAATGGTGTCAGAGCAGATTGAGAGTTGGGTAAGCCACTGGGAGCACGAAAGAGAGCAGTATGGACTACAAAAAACGTCTGTCGATGACAGCCTGATTGCATCTTTTACCTGTTTGCTAGGATTATATATTGATTTCATTAAACTCTAACAGATTCCCCATCTGTATGAATTTACCAGCTGATTTGAAATGCAAAAGAACTTACCATTTGAATGAGCAAATTGCACGTCTCGGTCATCAGAATCACGATTCGGTCTGTGCTGCGGTAGTACTCACAATTCACCCATAACAGGGCCATCAAGT